ATGCAGAATACTTTAGCTCTCTAACACCATATCTAAGATGCTCATAAAACTGTCAATACTTAAACGTTTATTCAAAGTACACTTAACACACAAGTAAGTGGTCATGAAACTGTCATGGTAAATAAACTAACAGTGGCATTGACAGCTGCATCAATAATTCCTGCTGGGTTGAAACCATTATTGGTGTTTGGAGGTTGGACAAGATCTTTAAAAATTTGTTCATGGGAATGTGAGCTTCGCTGGCTCAGCCACTACATATTACCCATCCATAACTGCCCTTGAGAAGGTGGTGGTGCGTTTCCCTCTTGAACCGCTGCACTCCTTTTGGTGTAGGTATATCTATAATACTGTTAGGGAGGAATTTCTGGAATTTTGACCCAGCGACAATGTAGGAATGGTGATATATTTCTAAGTCAGGATGGTGAGTAATTTGGAGGGAAAGTTGCAGATACTGGTGGTCCCGTATATCTGCTGCCGTTGGCATTCCAGATGTTAGAGGCCGTGGGTTGGATGGTGCTGTCTAAGGAGCCTTGATGAATTTCTCTGGTGCATCTTATAGATGGTACACACCACTGCTACTGAATGTCAGTGGTGGAGGGAGTGAATGTTTGTGGATGTGGTATAAATCTAACAGTGTACCTTTTCCTGGATGCTATCAAACTTTTCGAGTGTTGGTGGGGCCACACTCAACTAGGCAAGTGGAGAGTATTCCATCATATTCCTGATTGTGACTTATAGATGGTGAATAGGCTTTGAAGATTCAGGAGGTGAGATACTTGCTGCAGGATTCCTAGCCTCTGATCTAATCTTTTAATTGCAGTATTTATATGGCTAGTCGAGTTCAGCTTCTCACCCCATGCCCGGATATTGTCCAGGTCTTGTTACATTTGGACATGGACTGCTTTAGTATTCTAGGAGTGGTAAATAATGCTGAATATTATGCAATCATAAGCAAACATCCCCACTTCTGACCTTATGATGGAGGAAAGGTCATTGGTAAGGCAGCTGATGATGTTGGAAGATACTGCCCTGAGGATCCCCTACAGAAATGTCCTGAATGTGAGGTGACTGACCTCCAACAATCATAATCATTTTCCTTTGTATCAGATATGACTCCAAACAGCATTGACTCCATCGTTTCTAGAGCCTCTGATGTCACAGTGGGTCAAATTGAACCTTGATGTGAAAGGCAGTCATACTCACCTCACCTTTGGATTCATCACTTTTGTCCATATTTGAATTTAGGCTGTAATAAGGTCAGGAGCAGAGTGGCCCCTCCAATACTAGTTGATCAGAGTCAGGATTCTCCCCTTATAAGGGGTGGAGGGGGTCTAATGACGGGCATCCCACCAACCGTCTTAAATCTTTCTGCCCTATTCTGGGCTATTGTCTGCCCAGGATGAGGAGGCGACAACTATTAATGTTGCCACAGGTAGTTAGGCATCCCAAACGAATGAGTAGGCTATGCAGACAGTATGCATTATTATTGGTATTTGGGTGGAGGACAGCGAGTGAGGAAAACTGCTGCCGGCAACAGTGAGATTAGTTCTCTCTAACTTTTCCTGCAGCTGTGGCTTCAGGAAATGAAATTCAATGTATCTGTATTTGGCAGTGCAGAAACTCTAAGCAGTGATAGCAGTGATAGTGATTAGAGGGAACATTGGTAGTAGAGCATGGGCATTGGTGCGAGGCGGGTACTGCAGCAGAGATAGAATGAATGTGAGATATCAGAAGGTACCACTTCTACTAGCAGAGTGGAGAAAGTCATTGACCACCTTCTTTCAGTTCTGGGTATTCCTCTAGATGGCTGGGACTGCTGTAACCTTGCTGGCATCCTTGGATCAGGATGACATGATCTGTGTCATAGCTTCCATTGCTGTTCCTAGGGTAAAAGGAAGTCCTGCCTGTGCACCACCTGGTACAATAGGGTGTCCAGGACCCTGTCTGCAAACTATGGCGCTGATGTCCCCCTGTCCGAGGCAAGTGTCATTCTGACAGTGTTTTCCAGGTGCAAAGTAGGATTTTAAAGATGATACAGGTGTTCGGGTCCTGATGAATTCTAGGATATCCACAGACTGGAGAGTTGTTTCAAGAAAGGTGAATGGTAAAAGGCGGAAAAAATCAGACATGAGATATCATAGGGGCAGGGCAGGCAATTAATAAGGTGGGTTTGGTAAGATACAATGAGAGAACTTGCTACGCCTCATGTTGTAAAACCCAAAGCAACGTAGACGTTTTTTCCTGGCTGAGATTCAGCCTATTGACGTAATGTGTGTGTGGACCTGGAAGATGGTGATGTAGTCTTCCATATAAATTTTGCATCAATTTTCACAGTGAAAAAGGATTACAACAGTATAGACATAGAGGACCAAAAGATTGAAACAAATTAATATAGAGAGAAGAGATACGAGTAGGTTTAGCAGCTTTACAAGTAAATATATCCCAGGCTCAGGAGAGATGTATCCAAGGCTGCTGAGGGGAGCAAGGGAGGAGGAATCCAGGGCGCTGGCAGTAATTTTCAAATTCTTTCTGGCCACAGATAAGATGCCTGAGGATTAGAGGACTGCTAATGTTGTCCCATTATTAAAAAATGGGAGGGACAGATAGACTAGGAAATTACATGCCAGTTGGAAATAATCTTAGTGGTAGAGAAGTTTTAGAAAGAATTTGGAGGGACAGAATATTTCTGCACTTGGAGAGGCAGACATTAGAGATAGTCAAGATGGATTTATAAAGGGAGGGTCATTTTGACAAATTTGATCAAATTGTTTGAGGAAGTAACTGGAGTGTTGATGAGGCTAAAGCATTTGAAATGGCAGCCTGAGGGAAATCAACGCCATGTTTTGCAGGCAGGGTCCTGGACACCCTATTGTACCAAGTGGTGCACAGGCAGGACTTCCTCTTACCCTAGGAACAGCAATGGAGGCTATGACACAGATCATGTCATCCTGATCCAAGGTTGCCACCCATTTTACAGCAGCCCTAGAGGAATACCCAGAACTGAAAGAAGGTGGTCAATGACTTTCTCCACTCTGCTAGTAGAAGTGGTACCATCTTTAGACAGATATGTCACACTCATTCTATATCTGCTACTGTATCCCATGATGATAAGTACATTGTCATTTTCATTAACTTTCCTTTAGGATGAGAAGAACAATTTGTGACAAGCGATATGAGTATCACAGTTGTCTTCTAACTTTGCAGGGAAGCCTCAAAGAGTGGCTGTGAATTTAGATGATACTGAAGTGTTTCCAAAGGTTACTCTGACTGGTAATGATTTAGAAAAGATGTGGAAGACCTGAGTGAAACCTGTATGACTGTCATAGAATTTGAACTGGAAACAGTACATTAACTAATCTTACCATTCTTCACTTCTACATTGGAAGCTACTGTAAAACCAGTCTCTATATAGTTGTGAAATATCTTCTTGTTCCTACCTCTGATCCTCATAATCATCATGTTTAGCCTTATTCAGCCAGCTGCCTCCACAAATGTATCAGAGAAATTGGGCAACCTTCCTATTCCTGGCTTGCCTACAGCATATAGAATCATAGATCATAGAATCCCTACTGTGTGGAAACAGGCCCTTCGGCCCAACAAGTCCACACTGACCCTCAGAGCATCCCACTCGGACCCAGCTCCCTATGACCCACCTAATCTACACATCCCTGAACACTATGGGCAATCTAGCATGGCCAATCCACCTAGCCTGCACATCTTTGACTGCGGGAGGAAACCGGAGCACCTGGAGGAAACCCACACAGACACGGGGAGAATGTGCAAACTCCACACAGACAGTCACCCAAGCGTGGAATCGAACCTGTAAAACAATAGCATCTTTCCTTAGCAAAAACAGATGTTGCTGGAATAGCTCAGGAAGTGTGGCAGCATCTGAGAAGAGAATTTTTTTTTATTCATTTACAGGATGTGGGCATCATTAGCTGGATCAGCATTTACTGCCCATCCCTAATTGCCCAGAGGGCAGTTAAGAGTCAACCACATTGCTGTGGGTCTAGAGTCACATGTAGGCCAGATCAGGTAAAGATGGCAGATTTCCTTCCCTAAAAGACACCAGTAAACCAGACGGGTTTTTCCTGACAATCGGCAATGGTCTTATGGTCATTGTTAGACTCTTAATTCAAATTATTATTGAATTCAAATTTCACCATCTGCCATGGCAGGATTTGAACCCAGGTCCCCAGAACATTATTTGGGTCTCTGGATTAATAGTCTATCAAAATACCACTAGGCCATAGCCTACCCATATCTTTCAGGTGACCCTTCCTCAGAAGGTCAAAAGTCACGACAGCAGGTGTCCAACAGGTTTATTTGAACACACTGGCTTTCAGAATGTTGCTCCTTCCTCAGGTGTAGTGAGAGAAGAGGTATCAAGACACATTGTTGCATAATATCCATTTGTCCATTGTTATAGTGTCAGCATGGTTTCGCCAATAAAAAATGCCCTGGGCATCCTTGCCTGCAGCGTATGAGATAGACAACATTGGTGAGGGAGAGAGAGAGTGTATGAGTGCGTGTGTGTGTGTCTGTGTGAGACAGAGAATGTGAGGGAGTAAATGTGTGTGAGAGAGTGTGCGTGTGAGTGTGTGTGTGTTCATGCGAGTGTCTGTGTGTGTGTGTGTGTGTGTGTGTGTGTGTGTGTGTGAGAGAGAGATAAAGAGTGTGTGTGCGAGAGGGTCTGTGTGAGTGTGAGTGTTTGTGTGAGACAGTGTGTGTGTATGCGTACATGTGTGTGAGTGTGTGGGTTCTGAGAATTTCTGAGGAAGGGTCACTGGACCCGAATCATTAACTCTGATTTCTCTTCACAGATGCTGCCAGACCTGCTGGCTATTCCAGCAACTTCTGTTTTGTTTCTGATTTACAGCATTCTCAGTTCTTTTGGTTTTTATTTAGCAACTTTCCCTAACTATGTGCTGTTTTTAAAGACTGCTAACGTGCTACATGTGACCAATGCAAAAAGCATGTTTTTTTTAATCTTGTAGGTTGATCAGACAATCATATTTGGAACTTGTTTTGTTATACTTTTACCTTGACAAGGTGGAGGTGAAGGAAGCAGAGCTTGGACAAGAAAGCAAAGCAACATTAAAATCAGGAATCATTGTAGTTGCGAAGCAACCTAGAAAAAGGGTGAGAATACAAAGAAAATCGCAAGTGACTTAGATAAAAAGCTTGCAGAGTTGCAATATTCATGTTCTGAAAAAGTCATACTAGACTCAAAACACTAACAATATTTCTCTCCAAACAGATGCTGCCAGACCTGCTGAGTTTCTCCAGCATTCTCTGTGTGTTTGGATTGCCAGCATTTGCACTACTTTGCCTTTATGCAATATTCATGTTTTGAGTTATACTTTGTAAATGTGAATCTTAGGGAAATTAATACAGATGAGATATCAACTGATTTAGGTCTTCACCCTCTTAAAACAACACACACGTCTAACTCTTTATATTATTCTATGGATAAAAGTGTCCTCAAATCTCCTAACAACTCCCCTGACACATCACCAAAATGTCTTCTTCAACTTCAAAATTATAGCACCCACACATCGTTCACTTCACTTGTTTCTCTACACATAATTAGTGTACTCTGCTTCAAAAAAAATGAAGTCTAGAGTCAGTAAGTCAGATTTTGGCCCCTTTATCTCACCAGAACTTTCTCTGCAATTGTTCAATAGTAAATTTGAAAACTATGTAAATAAGGTAGAAGAGTCATGGTCATGGTGAAAATGATCAAGGAAACTTGTGTTCAGTGTTGGTGTAGAATAGTCACAGTCATACAGTTTCTACAGGATGGAAAAGGCCCTTTGATCGTATCTATACTGGTTATCTATCTATCCTAATCCATTTTCCCACTTTCCCCATGGGCTATGGTGTTTCAAGTGTTCATCAAAATATTTCTCAATTGTCTTGAGGGTTCCTGCCTTTACCACCCTCTTAGGCAGTGAGTTCCACCTTCTGAGAATAAAAAAACACATTTCCTTAAATCCCCTCAAATGCTCCTGCTCCTTAGCTTAAAACTGAGGCCCCTGATTATTGATTAAGGAGGAAAGGTTTCTACTAAGGAGGAAGGTTTCTCCCTATCTACCTTATCTATGCCCTTGGTACACATAAGTCAGATTGCCCCTCAGCCTTCCCTACTCTTTGGAAAGCATAGGGATAGAGATCTACAGCACAGAAAAAGGCCCATTGTGTCTGTACCTGTCAAAAACAACCACCTAACAATTTTAATCCCATTTTCCAGTACTTACCCCATAGCTTTGTATGCTTTGGCACAGAAACTGCACATCTAAATACTTCTTAAATCATATGAAGGTTTCTGCCTCTATCATCCCTACAGGCAGTGAGTTCCGGATTCCCACCAACCTCTGGGTGAAAAATGTTTTCCTCACATCCCTTTTAAATCTGCCTCTTACCATAGATCTATGCCCCTGTCAATTGATCCCTCCACTAAGCTGAAAAGTTTCTTCCTATCTACCATATCTATGCCTCTCATAATGTTATACATCTCAGTCATGGCCCCCCTCAGACTCCTCTGCTCTAAGGAAAACAACAACAGTCTATCCAAACTCTCTTCGTAAATAATACTGTCCAGCCCAGGCAACATCCCGGTAAATCTCATCTGCACCCTCACATTACAATCACATCACATCTATAATGTGGATTCCAGAACTGCCCACAATACTCTGTGGCCTAATCAATGTTTTATACATTTCCAGTATAATCCCCATGCTCTTAAACTCTATGCCTCAGTTAATAAATCATATATGCCTTCTTAATCACTTTATCTACCTATCCGGCTACCATAAGGGGCCAGCATACATGCACACCAAGTTCCCTCTGATTCTCGGTGCTTCGCAGGGTCCTACCCTTTGTCATATATTCCCTTGTCTTGTTTGTTCTGCCCAAGTGCATCACCTCACATTTATCCAGATTGAATTCAGTTTGACAATGAACAGCCCATCTGACCAGCTGTCTATATTTAGTTTAGTCTAATGCTATCCTCCTTACTATTTACCGTCCCACCAATTTTTGTATCATCGAGAACATACTGATCAACCCTCCTACATTCAAGTCTAAATCATTTACATATACCATAAACCCTGTACAACCCCACTGAAAACATTTGCACTCAGATAAACACCCCTCAATCATCACTCAGAGATAGTAAGAACTGCCGATGCTAGAGTCAGAGATAACACAGTTTGGAGCTGGAGGAGCACAGCAGGCCAGACAGCATCAGAGGAGCAGGAAAGTTTCTGTGTGCTGTGCTCCTCCGGCTCCACACTTGTTACCTCAATCATCACCCTCTACTTCCTGCCACTCAGCCAATTCTGTATACAATTTGCTAAAATTCCTTGGATCCCAAAAGGGTCTTACCTTGATTATCAGTCTCCTATGCAGGACCTTATCAAAAGCCTTGAAGTGCAAGCAACAACTCCGACCTATGTAGCCTCTTGACAGCTGAATTGCTCCAGCCCAGGCAATGTCCTGGTGAAACAAAAACAGAAATTGCTCGACAAACTCAGCAGGTCTGGCAACAGCTTTGGAACAAAAGTAGTGTTAATGCTTCAAGTTCAGTGACCCTTCTTCAGAACGGCCTTGTGAATTTCTTCTGCACCCTCTCGAGTGCAGTCACAACCTTTCTATAGTGTGCCAACCAGAACGGTATGGGTACTCCAGCTGTGGCTAACTAACGCTAATTACAGCCCCATTGTAACCTCTTTGCTCTTACAATCATTGCCTTGACCACTAAAGGCAAGTATCCCAAAAGTCTTTTGAATCATCTTAGAAGTATCTAAATGTACTGGAAGATAAATATCCACTACTGTTTAATGCAATCACAGCCCTTGTGTGTCTTTTCCTGTACTTAGGCAAAGCACAGTAATGGTGAAGAGTAGACAATACTGCTAATAAAAATTTTCAGATAAGATACAAGACAAGATTAGTTCTGTCTGGTTCATCCAATGATTTTAAAAACTTTAAAATGCGCCCCCTTTGGACTGTAGTGCTATTTCACTTGAAAGTGGGGAAACAAAAAGAAAATGCTGGAAATGATCAAACAGCACTTAGAATAGAATAGAACAACAATTTATTGTCATGTATGCTTTTAAAAAAATATGGTGAAAAGTTTTATAAGTCACCATATCACGGTGCCTGAATTAATGACAGAAGTCCTAAATAAGAAGAAAAGTAAAAGATCATCATTCAATTAACAACTCCTGGGTTTGGGGTACGCTGGAAAACCAGGCCAAAACTGCCACGCCTTTCCAAGACAAGACCTCCACATCAAGACATCTTGGGCTGTTGGAAGACCAGGTAGCCGCCTCCAAAGAAAGGACGAGACGTCCACACCGAGACCTCTGTGCGAGAACTATACCTTCACGCTGGGCTGCTGAAATACCCAGAAGACTCCAAAGCAGACCTCCACGACAGGACGAGACAGCCCATTTACAGGAAAGAAACACAGTAATGTTTCGAGATCGATCTCTTGGGTTAGCTCTGTTTCCACTTGCCAATCTGTTTGATGATTCAGTCCCAGTATTCCAAATTTAGGATACATCTCCATCGTGGTTCATCATAAGAGAAGCTGGACTGGGCCTCTCCAAGTTTATTGTGAGTAAAACCTGCAGCCAGCAAAGAGGAGACTTTCACTCCGTCAATATTGGTTGAATATGTCAGGCCCCAGAAGTGAAAGAAGAGTGTGCTGATCTAATTCATACCCTTAAAACAATTCCTGAACTTATTCATAGAATCATAGAAGCCCTACAGTGTGGAAACAGGCCCCTTCGGCCCAACAAGTCCATACCTACCCTCAGAGTATCCCACCCAGACCTATCCCCCTATAATCCACCTAATCTACACATCCCTGAAGACAATGGGCAATTTAGCATGGCCAATCCCCTTAACCTGCACATCTTTGGACTGTGGGAGGAAACCAGAGCACCCGGAGGAAATCCATGCAGACACAGGGAGAATGTGCAAATTCCACACAGACAGTCGCTCGAGGGTGGAATTGAACCTGGGTCCCTGGCGCTAACTCCAATAATCAGGTTAGGTTCAACCTGATTTCTTGTGATTTCTTGCAGATTTTATAATTAATTGTTCTCTGCTTGGGAATGTATGGTTTGACAAATTTAACATTAAAGCAGTTTATTAAATTACTTGTTCAATAACTTTGTTTCTTAATCAGATTACTGGCCAGGGAAGACTGATAGAAATACTGCAACATGTTTTGAGGCAGCCTTCAAAATATAAAATGCTGGCATGGATTGCCATTAGAGCTGCAAATGAGGTTTGTACAAATCATTCAGACTAAACTGTGCTAGGCATCATTTGCTTCTCTGTATAACATCTGTGTAAAAGACAGTAATTGGATGACATTTGGGAGAAGTTATATATCCTGAGATGGAACTCAGACACATGTTACAGCCTAAGATGTATAATAGGCATTTCTGATCCAATTGTAGAAAACTTGGAAATCCTTCAGTAATGATAAGAAACATGATAAGATGGAAATTGAGTATAGAACATAGAACGTGGAACAGTACAGCACAGGAACAGTCCCTTTGGCCAACTATATCTATGCCGACAATGATGCCATTCTCAACTAATCACATCTGCCTGTATATGGTCCATATCCTCTATTCCCTACCTGTTCATTTGTCTGTCTGAATGCCTCTTAGACTTTGCTTCCACCATTTCTTCTGGCAGCATGTTCCACGCACCTACCACCCTCTGTGTAAAAAATTTTGCCCTGCACATCTCCTTTAAACTTTTCCCCTCTCGCTGTAAACCTATGTCCCCATAGTACTTGACATTTCCCCCCAGGAAAAAAGACTTAGACTATCCAACCTATCCATGATTCTCATAATTTTATATACTTCTATCAGTCACCCCTCAGCCTCTGTAAGAATCTAGTCTGTCCAACCTCCTTTTAGCAAACACAATCAAATCCAGGCAACATCCTGATAAGCCTTTTTTTGCACCTACTCCTAGGCCTCAACATTCTTCCAAAAGTGTGACTAGAATTGCACACAATACTCTGAATGTCGCAGAACTAAAGTCTTACACCATTGCAACAAAATTTGCCAACTTTAGTGCCCCCACCAATGAAGGCAAGCATTCCATACACTTTGTTTGACCACCTTCTCCAATTGTGTTACCACTTTCAGGGAGCTATGGACTTACACTCCAAGATCCCTCTGTATACCAATGCCCCTAAGGGTGTTGCCATTTACTGTGTAATTTCCCTTTGCATTTGACCTCCTAAAATGCATCACCTCACACTTATCCGGACTAAACTGCATCTGCCATTTCTCCATCCAACTTTCCAAATGATCTATATCCTGCTGTGTCCTTTGATAACCTTCCTTACTATCCAGAACTCCACCAATTTTCAGGTCATCTGCAAACTTACTAATCAGACCATCTACTTTTTCATCTAAATCATCTATGTATATTACAAACAACAGAGATCCCAGCACTGATCCTTGGTACATGGTTATAATATTATCAGATTTGCATATAGTTATTGTGAATGAAAATTATAGACAAACTTTAAAATACTTTACAATCATAGCCAGCATCTCCCTGGTCCCAGCAGTGCCATTGAGAATGGTGATTACTACTGGGATTGCAGCCAATCCCCAATGGAGATTGTCACTATAGCCAACTGGGGAAGAAAAGTGGTGATGGTGGTGGTTGTGATGGGGTCAACAGGACTATGTCAGAAGGTTCTGGTAAAGGTATCAAGTGGGTAAGGGCTATGGTGCACAACACAGAAGGACAGAAGAAACCTTTGTAAGGGTGGGGACAGGGGACCAGTGGGGTATGGGGAACAGATATTGGGCGGGCATCTGACAGAACCATGGCTCTGTAATGTAGGAGTCACACCCTTATTCATCAATAACTCCAGGAAAAGCACTTGGCATCATTCAAACCTGGCTTCCTCCATTGCTAACCGCATGAAAGACTGCAGTAGGGCAGAAAGTGGCCCTTAAGCAGTATTGATTGGTCACTTAAGAGGCTCCATTAACCCAATGGCAAGTGGCTAACCCCCATCTCCACTGCTGTATATAAAACTACAGTGTGGGCAGGAACAGGAGCATAGGTGCCAGGAAAGATGCCCAATGCATTGTGCCCAGGTTTATGCCCCCTATTCATCTATCAAACACATCCCGGGGGAGCTGTAAGAATCCAAGCAAAAGACTGTTTCCACTTGTGGGAAGAGCAAAGCAAAAGGCTATTGATTTACGATAGTCACATAGAAATCAAATAAGGTGATTCAAGGAAAAAAGTTCTTCCCATTGAGAGTGGTGAAAATGTAAAACTCAAGAGTTTTCACAGGGAATGTCCGAGGCAAGTACTACCAGATACCCAAATGGATTACAAACATTGGCCTGGGTTGTTTAGGCTGAATAGCAAGTTTTTGTCCTGTATATGCAGCATCATCTATGAATTCTGAGGATTGATTTGAAGTGACTGGAAGCATTTCCTCTCATATGAAATTATTTTTCAGAATCTTTGAGGGAAAATATACACTAAACTCTGTTAACATGGCTGAGGTCATGACAAGTCATGAGGTGATGAACTGAAGACGAGAGAAATGGAAGAGAGAAAGTGCAAGTTAGTTTAGATTTAGTCAGTTCACACAAACATAGATAGTGGTGTATTTGAGTAACAGACAACCAAGACAGCCAGTAAATGCATTGGGAAGTTTTTCTGCGAAAGCTGGAAAAATATTTGACCAGCTTTTCATGATCTAGAGATTTCAGGTCATGCTTGTTGCTATGAGAATTATGGAATTCATTATCTCCCTTGGTTTATTCTTTCTCCTATAATCTACAGGCTTTCAATCTTAAGGTTAATATCATTTAATCACTGTTTTATTTATAACGTCCTCCACTTTTCATTTACGCAGAGTCCAGCATTATAAGCATTGTGCACTCACTGAAGCTTTTCAATATAGAAAAAGAATTACACTTCATGATTTAAATGGAAGCTATTGGTACGACAGAGACAAAAGAAACAAGATGGAGAAATCAGAAGTGTATTAGACCTGGTTAGATATTCCGTAATGCTGGCAGTCATGAGGCTCATTTTAGAACAGAAGGTTGAGGAATATCAGATACATTTTACCTACTTCATTGCTTTTTGAACAAGTGGCCATAGACATTTATAGTTTCCATATGATCCATCCTGTCCATATTGTCTAACCTGGATCACTTTCTGAGAACGTATCTGTAACTCCTTATCTTTGCTGTCTAGTCTTGAATTTGATCCTTTTCAGTGGTGTTACATTCAATAGGTGATGAGTCTTTATACTTCAATCTTCCATCTTATGTTTCTCCTGTAGTGAGAACAGTGATATGGTATCTGCCAGCACCATTTCCCTTTCTACTTTCAATTTCAGATTGGAATCATAACTCTGAAGCCTGAAAGAGTAACATTTGTAGTCTTACTGTTGTCAGACTGGAGGTCTGTGACCAGCAGTGTGCCACGAGGATCAGTGCTGAGTCCACTGCTTTTTATCACTTTTAAAAATGATTTGGATGTGAATATAGAGAATTGGTTAGTAAGTATGCATATGACACCAAAATTGATGGTGTAGTGGACAATGAAGAAGGTTATCTCAGAGGACAACGGAACCTTGATCAGATGGGCCAAGGAGTAGCAGACGGAGTTTAATTTAGGTAAATGTGAGGTGTTGCATTTTGGTAAGGCAAATCAGGGCAGTCGGTATACACTTAATGGTAGGGTCCTGGGGATTGTTGCTGAGCAAAGAAACCTTGGGGTGCAGGTTCATAGTTTCTTGAAGGTGGAGTCGCAGGTAGACAGGGTAGTGAAGAAGGCGTTTGGTACGCTTGTCTTTATTGGTCAGTGCATTGAGTATAGGAGTTGGGATGTCATATTACAGCTGTGCGGGACATTGGTTAGGCCACTTTTGGAATACTGCCTTCAATTCTGGTTTCCTGATGAAGGGTCCAGGCGCGAAACGTTGACTGTCCTGCTCCGCTGATGCTGCCTGACCTGCTGTGGTTCCTCCAGCTTCACTCTGTATTGAACAATTAAAGCAGCCTGAGTGGGTGTGGTCAAGCTCCTACCCAGAGAACAAGGGATTTTAGGTTTAGTTTTCAGCAGTTGCTGTTGAAGTTTTGAAAAGGTGGAAGCTACTTTTTCCCTCTCTAGATTACAGCCAAAAGCTGTGAGTTCTCTTCCTAGGATACTGATTGCATGTGAGACAAAATCTGTTTTCTTAATTTGCCTTTTGCCAAGTGTGTATTTTTGAGATGTTGCTATATTGGAACACGTAATTAGTAATAGTTACTGTATATATTATACTGTTAAGTTTTCTAATAGAGTTGTTATTCCAAGTTCTTTCTTTTGTTGTATTTTGACTATAGTGTTTGAATAAACTGTATTTTGCTTAACGTTGAATAGTTTGACCAATCAAATTGCATCTGGAACATAGCACCTAACATTTAACCTTTAAAATAAGAAAACATTAGGGTCTAGGCTACCTTCTTAACATATTTTGAGGGGGTCTGGTCTGGTCCATACACTCCTATCTTGGCATATTATCTTTTTGAGTTTGTTGAAACTCCTGTCATGTGACCCTGACCACTGGTCCTCTACATCTTCTTCATCAGCTCCTGCAGCTTTGCTGTGCATCTTGACATGTCTGGTATGAGACCATAAGATATAGAAGCAGAATGAGGACCCATCAAGTCTTCTCTGCCATTCAATCATGGCTGATGATTCTTAACCCCATTCTCCTGCCTTCTCCCCGTAACCATTGATGCCCTTAAGACCCCTTAGCTGTCTTACCTCTCTCTCATCCTCAGAGCTTCCATCCCAGAGGTCTCCCTGTATGTCTTGTCTACTTTTGCTGTATTACTTTAAGCTCAAAAGATAGATGCAGGAAATTTGTATGTTATAAAGGTAGGATGAATGTTGTCAACAGTGAAGATTCAGTGTGTAGTTTCATGTTCCAACAGCTATTTCTGGCACTGAGCTTGCTGGAAACCTTCACCCTGCCAGTGCTGGTGTGACTTCTTCCAGCATTCAAATAGTATAGTGATTGCTCTTTATTGAGATTTAATTGACATTTTTTGAATCCAGGCAAAAATTCTTAGCTTCCCAACTGACTTCTCTCTCCCCACATTTACCCAATCTGTAGGTTCTGTCACTCTTGCAATCACTTTCTTTTCTTCTATCTCTTGGTGTTCTCTTATAAGTCTTCCTTTGAGTTCTATTCGTACTTCATGTAGGAAATGAATCATTGGGTCAATGCTGATGTGATAAAAACTTCAAAACATCCAACCATTTCATTGAAACACACTGCGTACCTTTTGCATCACATCTTTGAATCTGAATGGAGGGTACTTTTCAATGGTGTTCTCACTTTATCCCTCCATGTGTCATCTCCTTCCCCTCCATGGTTTACTGAGAAAATCTGCAGCTCTTCATAATTGCTTAACTCCAATAAAGCAGGTAGATCACTCAGCTAACAGCACTTTTTTTTTGTGTTCCTCTGATTTGGGTTGCTCTTAGCTGTCAAATTCCAGATCCCTCTGTATGCTGTTAGCATGACAGTGTTCTGTTTCAGAATGCCTTTTCTTGGGTAATCATTTTCTTCCAAATTTTCAGGAAAGATCTTCTGGTATCGTCTGACCCTCTGTGCTCCAGTATGTCTTCACCTTCAGATTTAATGTGGGCTTATTTCTCACCCTCTTCCTGATCCGAATCATTAAGTAATATTTTTCTTTCTTTGGGAACTGTCGCGTCCAGACATGTGAAACAGTTGTATCGTTTACGTCTATTGTGTTCTCAAACGCACTAGCATCTTCCAGGATATGGTTGTTTTGATTTCTTTTCCACATTTTTACCTTGCTGCTCCCTTTCTCTAGTGACTCATCTATCACAATCTTTCTTTGTTCTGTCCATCTTTTCCCAGGGATTGTACTTTTGACAAGCTCTCCAGATTGTCTCGAATGTGGGTCATTCCTTCTGTCTGTGAATTCATGGTGTCATTCATAGTTCCTGGATGTCTTTTTCTCAAGCTGGTGTACATTCTTTAGCTGCTGTTTTAGTGTGTCACTCCTGTTGCCGTTCCCTCGGATTAACTGAAGGCTAGCCATTTGGGTAGTCAGTGTCTTCATCTCCCTCTCAGGCCTTCATGTGCCTTGACAGTGTCCACAGTCATCAATATTGTGAGCTTGTTCTTTCTCATTAGCTCTTTCTGTGCTTCAGAGTATGTATAGCCTCAAATTAGTTGATCTATTGGTCTTTCACCTTTGCTGTTCAATGTACATATTCTGGCTGCACTTCAGTCTTGTTATAAAGTTGTCAAAAAGCTCAGCTAACTCCTGCCTGAGGCCTTGAAATTTATCCCAGTGCATCAAATAATTTCATTTTGGCTAGAAATAAGTGCTAAATCTTTCAAAAGTCTTGTCTGGATTTGTACCATCTTAAGTAATCTCCCAGCTGTTAAATAAATGTAATGCTTTGTCTCCTGCACACAGAAATATATAGCTGACCCTTTCGTCATTATTAATGCCATTTCAGGAAACTACTGAATGCCAACTGTGACTTTAAAAAAAACTCAAATGTATCTACAATATTATCAGCTCTCAGTTTATTATGGGCAGTTTGCCACGTGTTCATTGCGGTGCTGGTAAACCTTTAAATTTTGATTTTGCATGATGGACTCAGGTTTGTTTTCTTTCTGTCTCTGACGCCAGTTTGCATCAATTTTGCCAATCAGCATTACATTCGTTTAAAATGCTTTAGGTTTACCTACTACTGCCACTATGTCGTGTTTTCTTGTTCTATTGATTCCCAGATCTTTGACATAATCATACTTCAGGCTTGCAAAGCAAAGAGCTCTGTGTCTTTACGGAGTGATTGTCCATAATACCAAATGGTACTTGTGTGTGCACAGATGCAGCTTGTGACATCAAATGGCCGCAATAAGTTAGAAGAAGCTTCTGCGCACACACTGCTGATGTTACCGCACTTATCCTACTGCTGCCTTGCTGCTGTTGCTTTCCATTGCTTAAAAATGACTTTGGGTGCCTCTTTACTTATATGACCTCTTTGCGCGACCTATAAGTGGCATTCACAGCCTTGTTTTTAATATACCTGCCACGATGTCAGATCAAAAGACTTCCGAGGTTGGTGTTGTGTTCAACAGAACCTGACTCTCCTGTTATCCATGAATGTGGCTCCATTGGTACACATATATACAATTGTCTCCTGGTTTATTAGCTACTAGTTCCATGTTATATAGCATACAAGATGTGATTTTCAAAAATGTTATCTGCTGTCATGAAGATTGGTGTCAAATTTTAATAGTTAGTGCTTCTGTAAATCAACTTAAGATATTTTACTGTGCTAAAGGTGCTATGTAAATAGAAATTGCTATATTTCCACTCTTACATACAAATGTCATTTGCTGGTTAGATCATCAGAATGCTACGCAACTCCCAAATACTAACTAGAGACAAGAAAATCAGTGAAGAAAGTATAAAACATTTAGTGCAAAAAGAATTGCCTGAATACGTAATTCTGGATTTTTTGGCATCATATCAGGATTTTGAAACCGGTAAGAACTTTGCTTCCCCTGCTTCAATACTCCAAATCATGCAGTAGAGTTTTAAAGGAATCATTATGGCATTATTATTTACTGTGACACTTAACCTTATAAAAATCCACTGCCTTTTTAAAATGATTAAACATATACTGTGTTATTTATCATACAGATCATCCTAAGGCTTGTTTTGATTCTGTCTATTAATGTGCTTTGACCTTACAACCTGCAATTTGCCAGAAATGACAGAATCAGAGGGAGCCAGATTGGATATGTTCCCCAAGCGCATCTTGCTGTTGAGGAGGTTTACCGATAGCGTTACCGTACCGATAGCGTTACCGTATTCAGGCAGCTTGTCCACCATAGTAAAGGTGTTTTACTAGGCCGCCAGTATTTTACCAGTGGTGGATTGAAACCGTCTCTCCACTGCATGAGGAAGCAGCCTCGCAGTAGCAGCCCGTGGTAGGGGAAGAACATTTTAAGCTTGTGGGGGAGGACGCTGTGGGCAAGAAAAGCAGTGCCCCACAATCCTAACAATAACCCATACAGTTTTCTCATCCTGTACTTCTACAAGTACATGAAAGGCAAAGAGTAACTAGGGAGAGAATAGGGCTCTTAAAGATCAACAAGGACATTGTGTGCAGAGCCAAAAGAGATGGGTGAGATCCTAAGTGAATATTTCATGTAAGTATTTACCGTTGAGAAAGGCATGGATGCTAGGGAACTTGGGAAAATAAATAGTGATGTCTTGAAGAGAGTCCACATTACAGAAGAGAAGGTGCTGGAAGTCTTAAACGCATCAAAGTAGATAAATCCTAAGGACCTGATGAATGTACCCCAGGACTTTGTGGAAGGCTAGGAAGGAAATTGTGGGGCCCCTAACGATGATATTTGTATCAAAGAAGCCACAGGTGAAGTGCCAAAGATTGGAGGGTGGCTAATGCTATGCAATTATTTATGAAAGGTTATAGGGAAATGCCTGGGAACTGCAGACCAGTGAGCCTAACATCTATTTCCCGCACTTCTGCCTTCACACCCCCTCCCCCCAACAGAAATAAAGTCAGAATCCCCGTTGCCTTCACATATCACCCCACTAACCTCCACATCCACCGTATCATTCTCCGCCACTTCTGCCACCTACAATCCGGCCCCACAACCAAAAATATATTTCCCTCCCCACCCCTATCTGCCTTCTGTAGAAACTGCTCTCTCCACAACTTCCTCATCCGCTCCACACACCCCACTTACCCCACCACACCCGGCACTTTTCCCTGCAACTGCAGGATGTGCTACACCTTCCCCTACACCTCCCTCCTCACCTCCATTCAAGGCCCAAAACAAACCTTTCATATCAGACAGGGGTTAACCTGTACATCCGTCAACTTGGTCTACTGTATCCGCTGCTCCCAATGTGGCCTCCTCTACATCGGTGATACCAAGCGAAGACTTGGAGACTGTTTCGTAGAGCATCTGCGCTCTGTACATGACAAATGACAACACCAACCATTTTAACTCCCCCTCCCACTCTCTGGGTGACATGTCCATTCTGGGCCTCTTCCAGTGCCACAATGACACTACACACAAACTGGAAGAGCAGCATCTCATATTCTGCCTCGGGAGCCTATAGCCCGATAGCCTAAACATAGACTTCACCAGTTTTAAAATCTCCTCAGCCCATGTCCAACCCTCCCTCTCATCACCGCCTCCTTGACATGACACAACCCGTCCATCTTCTCGCCCACTTATCCGCTCCATCCGTCCCAATCCCCACCACTCCCTACCTGCACTCACCTATCACCATTTCACCTATCTTGCCCAGCACCACCGGTCCTCTCCATTTATTTCCAAGCTCCCTTCCCCTCCCCCATTTCTGAAGAAGGGTCCTGACTCGAAACATCAACTTTCCCGCTCCTCTGATGCTGCCTGGCCTGCTGTGTTCCTCCAGCTCCATACTGTGTTACCTATGATGGGTAAGTTGTTAGAGAGGATTCTGAGAGGAAAGATCTACGGGCATTTGGACAGGCAAAGTCTCCTTTGGAATAGTCAGCATGGCTTTGTCTGTGGGAAACCATGTCTCACAAGAGTTTTTTGAAGGGGTGACCATTAAAGTAGATGAGGGCAGCGCAGTAGAAGTTGTCTATGTGGACTTTAGCAAAGCCTTTGACAAGGTAGCGCATGGTAGGATGTTGAGTAAGGTTAAATCTCACAGGATCCAGGGAGAGCCAACTAACTGGATACAAAATTGGCTTGGTGGTAGAAGACAGGGTGGTGGGAGAGGATTGTTTTTCAGACTGAAGGCCTTTGACCAGCAGTGTGCCACAGGGATTGGTGCTGGGTCCACTGTTATTCATCATTTATATAAATGATTTGGATGAGAATCTAGAACGAATAGTGAGTAAGTCTGCAGATGACACCAAATTTGATGATTTAGTGGATAGTGATGACGATCATCTGGAAACGCAGCAAGATCTTGATCAACTGGACTAGTGGGCTGAGAAATGACAGATGGAGTTTAATTAAGATAAATGCAAGATGTTGCATTTTGGTAAGGCAACTCAGGGCTGAGGGGAATATTATAGAACAAAGAGATCAAGGGATACAGGTTCATAGCTGCTTGAAAGTGGAGTCACAGGTAGGCAGGGTGGTGAAGAAGGCTTTCAGCATGCTGGCTTTCATCAGTTAGAGCACTGAGTATAGGAGATAGGATGTATTGTTGAAGCTGTACAAGACGTTGGTGAGGCCATATTTGGAGTACTGCGTACAGTTCTGGTTGCCCTACTATGGAAAGTATATTATTAAACTAGAAAGAGTGCAGAAAAGATTTACTAGGATGCTACTTGGACTGGAAGGTTTGAGTTATAAGGAGAGGTTGGATAGGCTGGGACTTTTTTCCCTGTCGTTTAGGAGACTGGGGTGTGACCTTATAAAGGTATATAAAATCATGAGAGGCATAGGTAAGGTAGATAACCAATAGTTTTTTCCTATGATAGGAAAGTCTAAAATTAGAGGGCATAGGTTAAAGTGAGAGGGGAGAGATATAAAAGGGTCCAGAGGGGCATTTTTTCACACAGGCGGTGAATGTTGGAATGGGCTGCCAGAGGTAGTGGTGGAAGCGAGTACAATTTCATCATTTAAGAAACATTTGGACAGGTACATGGATGGGATAGGTATGGATGGATATGGATCAAACGCAGGCAAATGGGACCAGTTTGAATTGTGAAAACTGGGCAGCATGGGCAAGTTGGGCCAAAGGGCCTGTTTCCATGCTGTAGACCTCGATGACTCTACTCTGCATTGGAACTCTTTACAACATTTTCTTGCCTACCAGCTGCTAAGCTGCTGGCTGCTTCAGATTAGGCTGACATCTTTTCGGCCAAACTGCCAATTGGAATACAAGGGCAACTCTTGTGAAGCATCTCAATGGGATGCCACCCATGTCATTAGGAGGGAAGGTTTGCTAGCCAATCATACAGCCTGGTGACATGTATTTCCTGTTGAGGTCAGGCCATTCTCCCTATCAACAACATTCATCCCAATTTATCTTGGCTTCCTATTTCTGCTTTACCTTTTTGACCTGAAATTGGATCAGTCAATGTTCCCAACTGTGGTCTTTGAACATATGTACTGTGCATATTTCTTATCACTGCTAGTGAAGAATTCAGAAATTGAAAGAAAGCATATGAAGTAACAGTATGCAACAGAAGCATTTCCCAAATCTGACCACTGTGGATTCGTTCGGGAGTTGTGGAACTTCTTAAAATTTCTTTTGTGGGATGTAGGCATCACTATCTAGACCAGTATTCAATCCCTACCCCTAATTGCATTTGAGAGATTGGTAGTGAGCTGCCTTCTTGAATCAGTACAGGCGTTGCAATTATTGAACCCTTGACATTCAATGGCATTACCATCACTGAATCACCCACTATCAGTATCCTGCAGGTTACCTTTGAGAGGAAACTGAACTGGACTAGCCAGAAAAACATTACAAGAGCAGGTCAGAGACTAGAAATCCTGTAGTGAGTAACTCATATTCTGACTCCTCAAACCCTGCCTACCATCTACAAGGCACAAGTCAGGAGTGTGTTGGAATACTCCCAACTTGCCAGGATGGGTGCAGCTCCAGCAACACTCAAGAAGCTGATCACTATCCAGGACAAGAAGTCTGCTTGATTGGCATTATATTCACAAGCATCCACTCCCTTCACCACTGATGTTCAGTAGTGTGTACTATCCACAAGCTTTACTGCATAAATTCACCAAGGCTCCTTAGACAGCACCTTCCAACCCCACAACAACTTTCAGTCAGAAGGACAGGACAGCAGATATATAGGACCACCACTACCTACAAGTTCCCCTTGAAACCACTCACCAACCCAACTTCGAAATATATTGCCAGTGTGCTGGGTCAAAATCCTAGAACTCCCTCCCCAAGGGCATTGTGGGTCCACCTACAGCATGTGGACTGCAGCATTCAAGAAGGCAGCTCACCATCACCTTCTCAAGGGCAACTAAACTTGGGAATGGATACTGGTGATCAACATGGAAGAGTGGGTTGAAAGCGGTGAGAGGGAAACAATCTGTGGAAAGCTTCCTTCCCCATGTTGGCCCGATGCTGTCAGATTTCATGGAGTCAATGCTGAGGATTCCCAGGACCACTCTCTCCTGACAGTGTACGACTATGCTGCCATCTCAGGCCTGGTTATGGTAGTATCAATTACACTGTGTGTAAGATGTGATACAGTGAGAATGAGTGAGAATGACAATGACACGCTGTTGCTTGTCCAGTCTATAGGACAGCTCTCCCAATTTTGACAAAAGCTCCTAGATGTTTTTCAGAAGAATTTTGGAGGGTTAATAATGCTGGATGGTCATTGTCATTTTTGATTGTCTTGGTTATTGCTGGGTCCATCCAGTTGCATTCCTATCTTTAGGCATTGTACTGGCTTGATACAACTGCCTAGCTTACTGGGGCTTTTCAGAGGGTACTTAAGATTCAAGTTTCCTTTCCTAAAGGGATGAATGAAGCAGATGGGTTTTTACTTACAATTGGCAATGGTGTTAATGGTCACCATTAGCCCATCTTTTAATTCCAGAATTATTAATTGAAATGAAGTTCCACCAGTTGTTGTGGTAGGATTTGAACCTACTTGACATTACCACTATATCACTGAATCTCTATTTAATGGATTAAATTCTTTTAATTATCATGTATCCCGTTTCCTCACTGATCCTATCCATCTCAGCAAAATCGTGCTCACACTTATGAAAATAATTAGAATATTTTATACTTCCAGACTATATAGGCCAATCTAAACAAATATTACAAGTTATTTAGACTACACAAGGTTAAATTCAAATTAAATCACAGTGAAACATCAATTACAGTGTTAACATAATATTTTTAGAAGTTACATGGAGTCTATTGAGTTTTACATGATGAACTTCCAATTAAGTGAGCGTACTCTTTGCAGGGCACTATTTACCCCATTGAATAATGTGTGTTTAATAGAAATATCCGTGCTGATGAACTCATTACTTGTGACTACAGGAGAAGACCAGAATTAGAATCCTGATATAATTGCTGGGTGCCATAGAAAAATAGAAAATAGGAGCAGATGTAGTCCAATCAGCCCATCAAAACTGTTCTGCCATTCAATATGACCATGGGTGCTCATGTATTTCAATACCCATATTCCCATTCTCTTCCCCCATTCCAGATATCTTTAACCTCTAGAAATCTATCTAGTTTATTTCTTAAACATATTCAGTGACTTGGTATCCACATCCCTCCATGATAGAGAATTCAACACCCTCTGACTAAAGACATTTATCTTCACCTCAGTCCAAAATATTCTACCCCATATCCTGAGACTGTTAATACTCCAACCACCACCCAGGTCAAAGTAAATATCATCCTGTGTCCAGCCCGTCTAAATTTTATACATTTCAATGAGATCCCCTCTCACTCTTCTAAACTCCAATGTGTAAAAGCCCAGTCCACTCATATAGCTCACATGACAAACCTGCCATCCTAGGAATTAGTCTGATGAATTTTCACTGTACTCCTTCTATAGCAAATATATATTTTAGTTAAGGAGACCAAAACTGCACACATTACTCCAAGTGTAATGTCAACAAGGCATGTACAATGGCACTCAAGTCCTCTTGCAATGAAGACAAACATGCCAATTATCTTCCAAAGTGCACTCTTAATTTGTGATCATAATACAAGGGCACGCAGATCCTTTTGTACATCAACCTTTCCCAATCAACTACAATTTAAGTAATACCTTGTCATTGTTTTTCCTCCTAATGTTGACAACTACACAGGTATACCACTATGGCAGATGTTAAAATTTGAATTCAAAAAAAATCTGGAATAAAAAGCTAACCCAATGGCAATCATGTAACCAGTGCCAATTGCTGTAAAAACCCATCTAGTTCACTGATGTACTTTAGGGAAAGAAACTGCTAGCCTTACCCAGTTGGGCCTACAGTAACTCCAGATCCATAACAGTGTGGTTGACTCTTAACTGCCCTCTAGGCAATTTGGGATGGGCAATAAATGCTGACCAAGCCAGAGACACCCACACCCCTCTGACCAAACAAAATTATCTATTTGTCTTATCATATCTGTGTAGGCCTAATTCCACATTTTCCCCCAGTCCACAGCTCTGTAGGTTATAGCAATTCAAGTGCATATCCAAGTTATTATTAAATGCCTCCAGGGTTTCTTTCTGTACCTCCAGACATAAATTGATCTCTCCGATTATGGAAATATGCCCTTCCTAACCACAATATCTAGGTCCCTCACAATTTTATGCCGTCTCACTTAATTCTCTCCTCAGCTTCCTCCAGTTTTCTTTTGTGGCTAAAAAATAGCATTCATAGAAACATCTTCTTAAATATCCTCTGCGTCCTGTCTAGTCCGAGCACATCCTTCTTGAATGCAGTCATCAGACATGGACTGCAGCAGTTCAAGGAAGCAGCTCATCACCACTTTTTCAAGGGCAGCTAGGACAAGTGATAAATGCTGTCCCATCCAGTGATTCTCAAGTCCCACAAGAGAATTTTAAAAAAAGAACTACAGCAAACTTTGTTTAACAGGCACCTCATGAACTTGCACTCTCAATAAACCAACAAATATTATATATATCAAATACCGCAAAGTTTACTGTGGTATTCTGTCCAATTATTATAGTTTTTAAATTTATTTATCTCAATGTAAATATGCTTGTTGTTCAATCAGATGGCCACATGAAATATCAACATTGGTTCAATTTTGAATTAATTTCTCCTCAAATATCATAGTCTACCTCAATGAACGAGTGGTCTGTTGAGGGTGTGAGTAAGAAGACTGCCATTATGTTTTATTTAAGGCAAAGTCACAATATTATTTAAGTGATCTATAATGTAAATAAAGTGTAATAGTGATGTATATATCCCCTGCATTATGTCTCTATTACATACGGTGTGTTTTTACATTGATTATGTGGACCTCTTAATTATCTGAAATATTTGATCAATTGGCACACTACTGGTCCTAAAGGAGCTGGTTAATAAAAAAGTTTACTGTATATGTAGTATTCCAGCCTTTTTAAAATGTGTTCATGGGATGTGGGTGACACTGGCATTTATTACCCATCCCTAATTGCCCAGAGGGCAGTTGAGAGTGAATCACTTTGCTGTGAGTCTGGACTCACATGTAGATCAGACCTTTAAGAAATCTAAACTGTCTTTGTAAATAATGATTTGTTTTGCTCATCAGAACATTTTCCAATGGCCTGTAGTTCCTTGGCCTGTTCATGCCTCTTATTTTAAGCAGCAATGCTTTTCCAAAACTATTTTGACAGATTTTAAATAAATACTTTATAAAATGAAATCAAACATTTACAACAGTCAAATGCGTGAAAAATTTAAATTTGCTGCTTTCATAAAATGTTATTTTTGTTGCTCATAACCTTGCAGAAAATGATGAATTTTTGCCAGTCTTAACTACCATACAAGGAGAAAAAGTGGAAAAGGAGGAACAGAGGACCAAACATGTTGCACCAAATGAAACTCCAAATTATGTGCCATCATATAGGAAAGTTGCACAATCACTGAACTCTGTCCAGTTTCTCAATTACAATAACCACCTCCGTAGGCTCTATAACATCAATCTACTTCCAAGTAAGATATCTGCAAGTTGTTTTGTATGTATTTGACAAAGAAAGAGCCCAAGTGACTGCAGCAATTTGTGATGTGATACTCATGATTTTCTGAACATCTTCAGGAGAGTTATACAGTTTCAAATTTGTTAAAACCTAAAACCAATTTACAAAAGAAAAATTGATAAATATAACTAGTAAGGGTAAAATTACTGCATTGGGTCACTGTCTCAGTGAGACAGTGACAACTGACAGTAGTTTAACCTGAGGGTCACCACACTTCAGGAGAGGGGAGAGCTTTAGAAGGTGGAACTTTCCTAGCGACCTCAGCTGCTCTGGGAATTCAACCCCACTGTTGGTATCACTCTGCTTTGCAAACCAGCCGTCCAGCCAACTAAGCTAACCAACCTCCTGAGTAATACAAGCACAAATAATTGGTAAATAATCAGAGAAAAGAAGGAACAGACTATAGGCAGGGCAATAAATCAAACCCATTAACCAGGGTCCGTGGCTACATGGGGTCCAAGATCTCGAATCTGTGCTCAGGCTATGGCCCAGGCAAGAGTCAGCATCAAGGCCTGTGATTACAGTCCCTAGTCCTGACTGTAGGCACAATTGAATGGGTTGATGAGGATCTTGCCCACTAGCCACTCCCTGCTAGTTGCTGGTAATGCACCCAGGATGGTGAGGGACTCAGCCCAAGGGTGAATGAATGTAGGAAGTAATGATGCCTGAGGTGGGGCTCATAAGGGGAGGTTGGGAGAGGGACTGGTAGCAAGGGCAGGGGATTAACCTTCTGCAATGCCTCCCCCTTTTCTGGGTGCTCGCTCTCTTGATCAGGCACTGATTCCCTAGCTGTTAGGGATCCTTCCCAGAGTCCTGCAAGCAACCATAACAGGGTTTGTTTTTCAGGCTTCCCCATGTAACAAATCCCCATCTGCCACTGGGTGAATACAAGCAGAAGTAAAATGAGGTTCTTAAGTGAGCTGTGGATGCTCAGGAGGGCATCAATCGCTGATGAACAGGATCACCATTCCTTGCATCTGATTAAATGCACCCCATCACCAAACCTGCCTTTGTAGGGGGAGGTGTGGCCATTAAATTTTGCCCTGTGAGTACAAATCAAGTGGGAGGGATTAAAACAAAAATACTGGAAAGTGGTCATCGCAGGTCAAGATGTCAATGTGTGGTAAGTGTGTAGGTAAGATTTATTTTTATTTAAATTACTGCAGTGGGTGGAGTGGCAAAAGTTTACCATGGACCATGATGGGAGTGGATGTGGGTTTGAGAAGGGCTGAGGACTAGAATGTGCAAAACTTCTAAAATAACTGGGCCAGCTGAATCTTATAGTTTATTTGGATAAGAGCAAGTCACGTCAAGTGTAGTGGAGTGATTCTTGTCGTGAAACCAAAAAAGTCTTTTTGCTCATCTTACCAAACTTGCTGTATTTATTGCCATTCCTGCCCCTATGGCATCAATCACATCTGATTCCAACCCCAACTTACCACGTGCTATTCCTGGAGGAACTGTACTCAGAATTGACTGGCACCCTGAGCACATGTGGCATCTTTAAAAGACTGCTGTTCATCTGGACAAGCACTGTCAATCCAGAACTGCCCTGTGTGGTTCCTGACATTTTCCCCAGACATGGCAGACAAGGGGAAATCAGTGCCTTGCCTTAAGTGCAGGGTCCCAGAGCTCCTGCTAGATTAGTTGGTGCATAGAAGGGACTTCCTTCTCCCCCAGGACTAACCCTGGAGTCCATGACACCAGATCATGCCCAGCCTGGTCCAAGGTTGCCGTCTTGGTTAAAGAAGTCTCAGACATCTGGAGGAAAGCTCAGAACTGCAGGAAGAAAGGCCAATGTCCGTCTCCACCCCACCAGTGTAAGTGCACAATTTTCTCTCTGTTATTTCACACTCAATGTATCTCTGTTTCTGTACTCATCTCCCACTAAAGCTCATGCTCTATATATCTCACTATTGCCTGGAACATCCTACTTCCCTCTACCCTCATGCCCTCTGTGCTACCTACTCACTCACTCAGGACACCTCCACCTGAACCAACAATAATAGCTGTGCCACACACATTCATCTCCATAACACCTGTCTTGCTGTCTCATTCTAGGAGGAAAGGAGTCTGCAATAGAACAGAAAGAGTTAATACAGGTGGTGAGCTGCCTGATATTCAGTTCCTCACTCCTTATGAGGAGATGATCCTGACTCTGAACGCCCCAGCTTGTCCTGGTCTGGTAATAGGGGCTACTCCTGACTTACTGTGCTGGGACCCCCTCAGTATAGGATATCTCCCTTAAATTGACTGAGGCCTGATGACAATCAAAGCTTCCTAGCTTTGTGTCTACTCTAAAGAGCACGCATAGAAAGTAATCACATGAGGTTATCATCTTTGGCAGAGGGACAAAGCACAAAAAGGCGATGAAAGGGAAGGTTGCAGGTAGTTGAGTGAGTGCTATGATCACATGTGAAGAGACTAGACGTGCAGCCTAGTCTACTTCATGAGCTAAGTATGTGTCCCCGAGTGCACAATGTCCTTGCTGCAGCATTACAGTGGCAGTCGTTGGTGCAGAAACAATCTGTAGTGGATCAGAGGGTTCATAGAGGCTGGCACATGTTGAATGCCAATATACATGGACGTAGGGTGTGTATGAGCATTGACAATAAAATGTGCCCTGAGATGTTGATGTCTGGTGTCCAACGTGGAGGTCCTGCTGAGCAGGCAGTGAGCTGAACCCACCAAGAACCTACCCTGATTTTCCATGCCAAGTTTTCCCGCCAGCTTGTTGAATTTGGTAAAATTGTGACTGGAATATTAATGAGGGGAGTTGGGCCATCTACAAAGACCTTAAACAACATTAATTGCAATCAATTGGCAACTTGCAACTGCGTAGTGAGAATTTCAGTTTAAAAATAAAGAGTCACTCATTTAAGAGAGATATGAAGAGATTTTTTTTTCCTTGCAGAGGGTTATTTTCTGTTCCTAAAAAGGCAGTAGAAGTAGAGTCCTTGAATATTTTTAAGGCAGAAGTAAATAGATTCTTACAAGCAAGGGAGTGAAAGGTTATAGGGGTAGGTGGGAATGTGAAGTATATCACGTCAGCCATAATCTTAGTGAACGGCAAAGCAAGTTGAGGGACAGATTTAAATGGATATTAGGGAAGTTCTCAATCAAGCCAGGAGCTGTGAAGGTGAAATATAACTTAGTGGAAGAGTTTCAGAGATAGTAGGAACTGCAGATGCTGGAGAATCTGAGATAACAAGGT